GACCACTGGATGTGAGCAGCGCTGTGGTGGATGTAGCACGTGACTCCTGAATCGTACGCACTACATCTTGCGAGAAATCCATCCTCTCAAAGATCTGCACAGCGGCCAAACCACAGGTGCTGGCCTATTCTGATTAATTCCTGATCGTTCCTCCCACCTGGAGGGAAGCGTCCCCCCTCCACGGCAGGTTCCACGAGCGCCCTGATAAAAGATGTCGTAGGCCTGGGAACCATGATGCGTTCACGCACTTGGGGCAGAGGAGCCGCCAGTCCCTCCTCCTGAGTTCGGTTCAGAAAACCGTGATACCAGAGGGAGAGAAGAAGGTGAAAGGCATTACGACCACAGGCTGTGAGCAGGCACGTCCACCCAGCGGTGGATCGTCCTATGGCTCCACGCTAATTATAATTGACATTGAGCGTTCTCTCGTGTTGCTACACGTCCGCAGACGCTGGCAGGATTCTACCGTGTCTGAGTCCTAGTTCTGGGTGGAATACATGAGATGTACCCACTCCAATAGAGAACAGATTGGATGTGTCCCACACAGCATCTTTCTCACAATGTTGCACATGGATTGAAAAAAAGCATACATTTCCTGCTAGTATGTATGCAACAGTCACTTGCTGTCTGAGAATCACAAACTCTGATGATTCTGCAGCTCAAGGTCAGTGTTGAGTCACATTCAAAGATCCCGTGCGACACTCCAAAACATTTAAAAGGCTGCTATGTGGGGAGCCACAGCGGCTCCACAGCTTATTAAATGTGTGTGACGTAGATCTGCTGACGGAAAACAGCTGATATCACTCAACCGATTCACGTGAGTTGCACTGCTGCCCCTGTCTGTACAAGCTGCTCAACGGCAGGTGTCCAGATAACGCAGAATTAAAGCGGCTCGAGCGCATAATGGAGTGTTTTCTGGACTTCGTTTTTTTGTTAAAAAAGAAACGTTTCGCCCCTCATCCAAGAAGCTTCGTCAGTCTGAGGCCTAGCCATCTGGTATTACCCAGAAGCCACCCTGACTCTTGTGTTTCAAGCCTGCCTCAGATACCCCTGAAGTCTGGCCTTTTCACTAATGGTTTCAAAAACACAAAGTTTGTTTTCTCAGTCATCCAGGTATATAACAACAAAAAAGGTTGAATCATGTCATCTGGACTTCGTATTTTGTTAAAAAAGAAACGTTTCGCCCCTCATCCAAGAAGCTTCGTCAGTCTGAGGCCTAGCCATCTGGTATTACCCAGAAGGTAATATGTGTTATATACCTGGATGACTGAGAAAACAAACTTTGTGATAATGGAGTGTTGTTTCTCACAGCTCAGAAAATTGACAATCTAGAATAAATCTCATCTTTCCGGTTCATTGGGACCAGGAAGTGATGAGAGAGACCTTGTGTTTCCTCTCCATCTGAGATTCTAGAAATTACATTTCAAAAATAATTTCCTGAGCTTCTACTAGAGGGAACGAGATCTGTTCATAAATGACAGAAAAAACGTCACAGAGTTCCTCCACACCGGGGTTTGAGCTGAACTGCAGCGTGAATCCCGGATGAAAACGATTCGCCCATCCGTCTGGAGGCGCGCGTTCATTGCCACCTGTTATAAGCTATAAAGTGGGCACGCATTTATGTTATGAAAACTCACATACATGCTGATGTGAACTGGAGTGCGCTGAATGAGAGAGAAAAAACCCACACGCGTCCTCGAGGATGCAAGACGTTGTGTTGCTGCGGGAAAACAGCTCATGTGTTGTGTTCACGTTGTGTGCAGCTGCTCGGTGTAACGCTCGGAAGCGGGTGCACATATGAGCCGACGCACCCTGAAGGGTCGTGTGTGTGCGTCCTCATGCGACGCTTTAAGCCAGGATTGCCGCGGGGGTGCGCGTTGGCACTGGTGCGGTAAGGAGGCACCGCGCGCCTACGGTGGAGCGGGGTTACCACTGGCTCGGTCTGCAGAAAAAACGTTCATTGTTTGCTGCGGATCATGTGAGCTTTTGAGTGATTCCACGAGCTGCAATATTAATTCAGACAAAACCCCTTCTTCGAGGATGTATGAACTGAGCCGCTGTGAAGGTTTGTGGGGCTGCTGACGCCGCGGGAGCGCGCGTTGGCACTGGAGCGGTCAGGAAGCAGCGCATCGGTGAAGCGAGGCTACCCCTGGCTCGGTCTGCAGAAAAAAAACGTTCATTCTTGGCTGCAAGTCACGTGAACTTCAGAATGATTCTATGCGCTGCAGTATTAATTCAGAAAACCTTCTTCGAGGATAAAGGAGCAGAGCCGCTGTGAGGCTTGTGAAACTGCTAACGCTGCGGTAGCGCGCGTTGACACCGCTGCAATGACAAAACGTGTATCGCTTCTGCCGGGAGTGAGATACGTTGCTGAGCTTGTACCGTGGTCTCACGTGAACGTTGACGTGAACGGCGGGCGCTGAGAGCTGCGTGCGCGCTTTCATGCCGCGGGAGCACGCATCGGCACCGCTGACAGTGAATGAAAACAACCTTAAAAAGGCTCATTCGTGATGAGTGTGTGTGATGGAGCCGCTTGTCAGATAAACCATGCTGACAGCCTGGCTAGGAGACACTTCATCATAAAATGATGTTATTTCGCAGTGTCATCAACACACCTCCAGCTACCGGACACCTGATTACCTTCCGTTGAGCTCTGTTTGTTGTCCTGGAGGGCCCCCTGTTGGCGAAGTCCGGGAAAAAAATGAACTTCCGGCTGCCGGGGACGTCTGACGGGAGGGGCTGGCGTAGCAGAGCTGGGGAGGCATTGAGCAGCCGTGGAGCATCTTGAAATGATCTCTAGCTGATGAAAAGAGGATCACCAACGGACTCCTGCATCTCTCCTGAGAGGAAGGTGGAGTGACGGGCCAGGAGAACTTCTGGGACCCCGTTCTCTGGCTGCGATGCGGGGCGGCAGACAGCAAAAGAGGCGCACCGGTTGAGGATGACGTCAGCTGACCTGTAGACTGAGCGTACTGCAGGGGCTGGCAGCGTCGTAGCAAGCAGCCTCTACGAGAGCGGAGTGAGCCGAAGGACAGAGGGCCACCGTCTCTTCTCGCCTCTGAACGTGTACGCCAACAGCGTAACGTGTTGTTCGCTGCGGCCGTGTGGAACACATGCTGGTGAGCTCAGTTGGAGAGCGGTGTCACCGTCTCGATTATGTTAACCGGAGGCACGGGACGCTGGTCCATCTCGAACATCTTACTCCAATGAAGCCTCCATCAGGCTCGGCTCCAGAGGGCACGGAGGGACTTTCCGCTCAGTGAACCCCTGCTCTGGAGATGGGTGCGGACTGTGGAGACCGGCTCCCCCAATCTACCAGGAAAGAACCCGTCTGTGGCCTCGCCCGTAGGACGTCCTGTTGGGAGTACGAGGCCATATGTATCAAGACGGTGAGCCGGAATGGAGCCCAGTAAACAACCTTCCCGCCGGATCATCCGAACTGGCGGGAAAGGCGTAGGATGTAAAAAAGGGTCCTTTCATGTCAGCTTCCTCCTGGGTTACGCCGGGCAACCCCTGAGGGCGCCGTCGGCCGGGAGCGGTGTGATCGCCGATGCGAAAAACGAGGTGGGATGGGGTGAGCATTCATTCAGCCCCCCTCCACCGACACTACGCTCCCCAGGAGGGAATGAGCAGCGGGGGCTGCAGCTTAGCACGCCTGTCCCGGAGGAACCATCCGATTCGCTCCGAGGATCGGCAATAAGAGGAAAAATACAAGATGGCGTTGTCCAGCGTGTAGTGACCTGTCACTGGGAAATATTCCTCGGCGCTTACCTTGAAATAAGACTGTTCGTCATCTTCTCCTCGGGGAGGAGAACTCACCGGACGACCGGAGGTCGACTGCCGGGCCAAGCATCCTTAACAAAGGTTGGTCATCTACACAATTTTCCTTCTTTGTTCTTCTGCCAGTGCTATTTTAGCTCGCTGAAGAAAAAATGGGAGCCGATTTCCCGCTCTTAACGTAATTTATACGGACCGGGTGGGGCCCACACAGCAGGTGGGCGTGGACTAAATTTATTTTCAGTGCTTATGCTGCGCATAACGGGATAAACCCACTAAAGCGAAGGCCTTAAAGGGCGAAGCTTATATGAAATAGAACTGAGATGTTTATTTTCTAAACTTAACGTCCCAGTGGCTTTTAAACCCCAAAATACATTAAAGACTGGTTCATCCCAAAGATCCAGTCCCCCGGCACAAACAGAGCAACATTGTGTATGTTGTTCAGTGTAGTGAACTAGGCCTCCGACCTCAACCTGTCTCTGAAGACCTTCAGGGGACAGGAACTGTTATTTCATTGATCTGAATCCAGAAATACAAATTATCTCATCAAGAGACTATTTAATTGTATCCTGAATTAATCAATTGAAAGAACATTCTTCTTTTTTACATTATCATTACTATTTTAGAATATCTTGATAATCAAAGTGTGTTAGTTCATACCATTTCTAAATGTTGAAGTGAAACACTCATTTAAATCAACTGTGAAACAGTATTAATGATTTTTAAACCTCATTAGACTTGGAAATCAAGTTAAATGTCTATTTACAAAGTAAGTGTGCATTTTGATCTTCTGTCTGAATGAGTGGATTTGATGTCGGTCAGAAGTCAGGGATGTCGGTCGAAAGTCAGAGACAAACAGAGACGAGTTATTAGAATGAAGTCTTGTTTTTAAACCTAGCAGACAGTAAATAAGAAGCTGGCACCTGCAAAGTTTCTCACTTCTTCAAAATATTTTTCTCTGTCTGTACTAACCGTTCCTAAACATTCCTGCTGTCTTTTGACTTTTAATAACCCTCTGACATCACTGAAACACCGCCCCTGCTGGTTGTTTCAACCAATCAGGAAGTACCAATTGACAGGAAGTGAGTACTCTTTAAAAAGTCAACAATTCCTGGAACTATTCAGTCTTCCCGCAGTCTTCTTGCAGTCTTCCTGCAGTTTTCCTTCAGTCTTCCTTGGAACTATGAAGTCTTCCAGCTGAACTGAGAAGCTGATGGAATGGGACCATGTGCAAAGGGGTCCGTCCATCCCAGCGGAGTCACAGCGCCTCGCTGTGAACTCACCCGGGCGTAACGCCCTACAACTTCTAAGGAAGCTTGTTCTGTTGAACGGAATACATCGACACGACTTCGAACAATGACCAGGCACCCTGACCGGAGACGTTGAAAGGTAGCGTGCATTGGGACCTCTAGACCGGAGCTGATCCATCCATCTGCAAAGGTAAAGAGACGTCACGAGTTGTCACGCACTAAGTGGACCGGGTTTTGAGCTGGTGTTGAAAGAAGAGTGCTTATTCTGGTCAACAAACATACATCTTCCTTCATCCATCTTTAAACTTCTCCACTCCTTCTCTTAAACTTTTATTCGCCAGTAATCTAGATGCCTTCAGAGGTGAATCAGCCTCAATCAGTAATGTTCTGTTGTCTTGTTAGTAAAGCGTGCCAAGTTTTTATTAATCAGAAACAGATCAGCAAATCAATGTGTTCATGTTTTGATGTTAAATTTTGATTCTGTTAAATAAATGCCCGCATTTATTCTGATGGGTCAAAGAAAAATGGCGTCTCATGTCACTGATTAAACAATCGTCACAGTTATCTCGGTCACATGGCATTAATTTAACTCGAAAAAGAAAGAATCCGTTGTAATTAAATAACTAATATTCTTTGTGCTTGAACTAGCTTTAAGAATAATTAATTAGTAGTGAAGCTAACAGCAAAGCTGTCCCTACATCATTGTCAGGAGGGTGATCAGTCTTACATCGGGGAAACAAAACAGCCACTGGCCAAAAAGATGGACCAGCACAGAAGATCAACATCATCAGGCCAGGACTCTGCGGTCTACACTCATCTCCAGGCCAGCGGTCACTCTTTCAGGGATGAAGATGTGCACATCCTGGATAGAGAGGAACGATGGTTTGAGAGAGGAGTAAAGGAGGCCATCTTTGTGAAAAGAAACCGTCCATCATTAAACAGGGGTGGAGCCTCCGGGTTCAACTGTCCCCCCTCTTACAATGCTGTGATTGCTAGTATCACTCAGCCCTCTGTGAACAGTAAACAGCCATCAGGTGCTAATGACCCATTGTTAGGCTGATGGTCCTTCTTGAGCATGTGATCAGCTGGTTTTGGTTGTCAGCAGCAAACTGGTTGATCCACTCTGAGAAGGTGCTATTTAAGAGACTGAGCTGAATACAGCTCCTCAGACTGAAGAAGTTTCTCGGATGAGAGACGAAACGTTTCTACATTTTTTTTGCTTTGTTTTGTTTTTTTGTTTTTTTGAATGTCCAGAGGACCAGATTTAACTTTTTTGGATTAATTTTATTATATTTTTTATAAAGGGGGAAAGAGCTCTATTTAATTTTGCTTGTATTTTATTTTCTACATTTGTAAAAAGAGTTTGTTTCTAAATGCTTGTTGGGAATCAATAAAAAAAATCAGTTCAGTAATTGTTTGGTGTGACATTACTCTTGGCGGAATCTAGTAGATGTTTAGTGCCTGTTCCCTACTGGTCCACTTCAAGTGCGCTACACTGGTTTTTATGGAGACCCAGCAAGCAGGAGATGATCTGTTCTAAGACGGGAAGGGAAGGCAGTTAGTAAAGAGCTGTTTTAATAATTTATTTCATTTTGATATTACAGTAGTCCCTTGTTTATCGAGGGGGATCCATACCCTGAAGTGAAAAACCGCGAAGTAGAAATTCATTCAACCTTTATTTAAACAAGTTAATCCCAATGAGCCTCAGGGCCTCATTTATAAGAGAGACCTGAAAATAGGAATAGTAGTACAAGGAAGGAATAGTAGTACAAGGAAGGAATAGTAGTACAAAGAAGGGATAGTAGTACAAGTAGTAAGTAGTAAATGCAGTAAGAGCACAGAATGTCATGATTTCAGCTCCCTGCCTCCTCTCAGCCACCTGCAAGCGTTCTTGGCCACGCCCACTTCTCCACTCTGCACTGAGAACAGCTGATCAGCAGCAGGAAGCTTTTTCTGCAGCTCTGGGCTGCACAAATGTGCAGCAGGTGCTAAATAATTTTAAATGAAAAATTCCATGCTGATCATGCGGCTCATCCATCCATCACCAGTTGTGTGTCTTATCCAATCTTATTTTGAAAAACCGTAATAGAGCGAGTCAGCGATAAATGAACCGCGAAGTAGCGAGGGACTACTGTAATTTACAATGATGTAAAAGCTCCAGATGTTTAAAGTATTCAAAGTATTATTTAAAGTCTTGATGTGTATAATTAGATTTATCTGATCCATGGCAAGTAAAATTAGATTAGTTTCATGATAATTCTTTCATTAATGTGTAAAAGTTTAAAGTTAGTAGTAGCTTTTTACAGCTGCAGAAACGTTTTTCCTGGTTCCTGACAGATGCTTAAATCGGTGCACGATTTATTAAAAGTTAAAAGAAGATTTATGCCATTGTTAACACAGAAATGAGTCGGTTTTGACTTTCACTGAGACCTTAATCCAATTCTTTCAGGTAGAGAAAGTTCTGGCCGGTGGAGATCGTCTCATTGTCTTCCCCAATGGGACCAGAAAGGAGATTTCAGCTGACAAGGTCTCGGCGAAGGTCACCTTCTTCAACGGAGACACGAAACAAACGACAGCTGATCACAGAGTGGTGAGATGGTTCATCCTGAAACGAGGTTGGACTCTGGTCCCCTCAGTACTCATTGTGGCTCCAGGAAGGTCAAGTGCAGATAAAATCACTCAAACCTATATAGCTTTTAAAAAAGTGTCAGAGTTGAATCTTTATTTGCTTAACCCTTGTATTGTATTTTGGGGGGGGGGAAAAAACTTGCCATATATTTATTTCTGTCGTTTTTTGTTGTTGCTGTTTTTGGTGCACATTTTTTTCTGACAAAGTCTAAAATTCTTTCTTTTTTTAAAGTTGGTCAGATTTTTTTCTAACATTCAGAACCTCACAGTAACTTCACTCTCATGTTCCTGAGGCCAAAATAAGCCACATTAAAATAGACTGTAAACACATCTTATACAATAATTCCTCTCTTTTTATCTCCAAGCCTATACTTTAGATTTTTATATTAAGACTTAAGGTTATTAAGGTTTAAGTTTTTTTTTATTTGTCATTCCACCACATGTGGTACATGTGGTGGAATGAAATTGTTTACACAGGGTCCCCGTTACATCCAACAAAAGTATAAATTGTAAAGAAAAACAGTAATAAGATCTAAGATATGAACTAAGAAATATGCTAAAGCTAAGAATACACTAAGCACTAGTAGTACAAAAACAATATGCCGAACAACAGCAGTACAAACATGAGTCTGTGTGAGCAGATGAGTACGAATGAACACAGCAGCAAGAAAGAAATCAACTGCATGGATAATCAGCAGCACCTATCAACAATCAAGTGGCATTACAGTGTTTTTTTTCTCAATGATAATCCTAGTTAGAGATTCATGAGTGTAACAGCCTCAGGGTAGAAGCTGTTCTTCAGTCTAGTGGTTCTACACTTAATGCTCCTTAACCTCCTTCCTGAGGGGAGTGGGGCAAAAAGTGTGTGTGCTGGGTGGGTGGAGTCCTTCATGATGCAGGTGGCTCTTTTCCTGCATCTGGAGGTGTAGATGTCTGTGATGGTGGGGAGACTGACTCCAACATCTTCTGTGCAGCCTTCACCACTCTCTGCAAAGCTTTTCTTTCTGCAGCTGTGCAGCCTCCATGCCACACATTGATGCTTGAGCACAGGATGTTCTCCACTGCACACCTGTAGAAGGAGGTGAGGACTGAGCTTCCCAGACCAGCTCGCCTCAGCCGCCTGAGGAAGTAGAGTCTCTGATGAGCTTCCTTGATCAGGCTGGTGGTGTTGTTGCTCCAGCTGAGGTTGTCGTTCAGGTGCACACACAAGTACTTGTAGCTGGAGACCACTTCCACTGCTGATCCTCTTATATTTATTACTATTTATTATTATTAACCTTTATTTAACCAGGCAAATCCCACTGAGATCACAGATCTCTTTTGCAAGGGAGGCCTGGGCCTGAAGGCAGCCTAACATGCATAATTTTGGTTTGTGGGAGGAAATTGGAGTACCTGGAGAAAACCCACACAAGCACGAGAAGAACATGCAAACTCCACACAGAAAGACCCCAGGTCCAACCACGGATTGAACCCAGGACCTTTTTGCTGCGAGGCAACATTGCTAATAACCACTGAGCTGTTGTGCTGCAATTATAGGTGTGTGTATTCTGTCTGAAGTCCACGACCATCTCCTTCGTCTTCTTCACATTGATGTGAAGGTTGTTCTTCCTGCACCAGCTCTCCAGGTGTTCCACCTCCTGCCTGTAGCTGGACTCATTGTTGGTTGTGATGCATCCAACCACCGCTGTCTCGTCTGCAAACTTTACAATATGACAGTCTGGATGAGTAGGTGCACAATCAAACGTGAGCAGAGTGAACAGGAGAGGGCTCAGCACACAGTCCTGAGGGGAGCCAGTGCTGAGGGTTATGGTGGAGGAGAAGTTGTGGATCCTCACAGACTGCGGCCTGTTTAAGAAGTCCTGGACCCAGTTGCATATGTAGGAGCTTAGTCCTAGTGTGAGTAGTTTGTCCATCAGGGTTTGGGGGATCATGATGTTGAAGGCAGACGTGAAGTCCACAAAGATCATATGGATGTAGGAGTCATTCTTCTTCCAGGTGGGTGAGAGCAGTGTGGATCACAGAGGAGATGGCGTCTTCTGTAGATCAATTCTTGCGGTATGCGTACTGGTGAGGGGCCTCGCTGATGTTGATGGTTGTTTTCATGTGGGCCATGACCAGTCTTTAGAAGCATTTAGCGACTATCGGTGTGAGGGCCATTGGCCGGTAGTCATTCAGACCAGTCACTGTAGAGCTCTTTGGGACTGGGATGTTGGTGGCGGTCTTCAAGCAGGTGGGAACTGTTGCCAGATTGAGGGAGGAGTTAAAGATGTCGGCCAACACCTCACAGAGCTGATCGGTACATTCTTTCACTATCTTCCTGGGGATGCTGTCTGGGCCATTTGCTTTGTGAGGATTAATCCTCCTGAATGTACTCCTTACTTCTGCTGAGGTCACGCTTACAACTCCTCTTCCAGTGGTGAGGTGAGTCTGGTGCTGGGTGGTCTATTCGGGTCTTCAAAGTGTTCATAAAACTTGCTGAGGGCATCAGGGAGTGATGAGTCCCCAGGGCACTGTGCACCACTGCCTTTATAGACTTCTTCTTTCTGCTTTTCCCTCTTCAGGGGTCGCCACAGCGAGTCATCCTCCTCCACCTCACTCTGTCCTCTGTATCCTCTGTCCTCACTCCAACTACCTTCATGTCCTCTCTAACTGCATCCATATATCTCCTCTTTGACCTTCCTCTTTGTCTTTTTCCTGGCATCTGCATTTCTAACATCCTTCTACCAATATACCCACGGGCCCTCCTCTTGACATGTCCAAACCATCTCAGTCTGGCCTCCCTAACTTTATCTCCCAATTGTTCAACCTGTGCTGTACCTCTGATGATCTCATTCCTAATCTTATCCAGCCTTGTCACTCCTAAGGAGAACCTTAGTTTCTTCATTTCTGCCACCTCCAGTTCTTTCTCCTGTCTTTTTGTCAATGCCACTGTCTCCAGACTATACAATATAGCTGGTCTCACCACTGTTTTGTAAACTTTTCCTTTGACCTTTGCTAACACCTTTTTGTCACAAATCACTCCTGAAACTTTTCTCCATCCAGTCCATCCTGCCTGGACTCTCTTTTTCACTTCTTCACCACATTCCCCATTTTCTTGGACAGTGGACCCCAAGTACTTGAAGTCCTGCACCTTTGTGACCTCTGCTCCTTGTAGCCTCACTGTTCCACCGCCTCCCTCTCATTCACACACACGTACTCTGTCTTACTACGGCTGACTTTCATTCCTCTTCTTTCAAGTACATACCTCCACCTCTCCAAGTTCTCTTCCACCTGTTCCCACCACAGATCACAAATGTCATCTGCAAACATCATCGTCCATGGGGATTCTTGCCTGACCTCATCTGTTAGTCGGTCCATCTCCAGAGCAAACAAGAAGGGGCTCAGAGCCGATCCTTGATGCAATCCCACCTCTACCTTGAAGCTATCTGTCAGTCCTACAGCACATCTCACCGCTGTCCTGCTGTCCCTATACATCAATCAATCAATCAATCAACTTTATTTATATAGCGCATTTTAAAAACCACAAGGGTAGCCGAAGTACTGCACAATAAAACAATAAAAACATACAAAGCATACACAAAGAAACATAAAAAACCATTCACATACCAGTTTCACAGCAGGTGTATTAAAAAGCCATAAAAGATAAGATCACGTGTTAAAAGCCAAAGAATAAAAGTGTGTCTTTAAAAGAGATTTAAAAACAGGAAGAGAGGAGGCCTGTCTGACACTCAAGGGTAAAGTGTTCCACAACCTGGGAGCAACAACAGCAAACGCTCTGTCACCTCTGAGCTTCAGCCTAGTTTTAGGGACTGTCAGCAGCAGCTGATCAGCTGATCGTAGGGATCGGGGTGGACAGTAAGGCTGAAGCAGCTCAGACAGATATGGTGGGGCAAGGTTGTTCAGACATTTAAAAACAAACAGCAAAAGCTTAAAATTAATTCTGTAGTGCACAGGGAGCCAATGAAGGGACGCCAGGATGGGAGTAATATGCTCGCGCCTACGACCCTGAGTTAACAGGCGAGCAGCAGAGTTCTGCACAAGCTGCAGACGAGCAAGAGACGTCCGGCTAATGCCTGCATACAGCGCATTACATTAGTCAAGACGAGCTGTGATAAAAGCATGGATTCATTTCTCCAAGTCAGGTCTTGCAAGGATTGGTTTCACTTTTGCTATTTGGCGGAGTTGATAAAAACTTTTCTGAACAACACTGCTGATCTGTTTTTCAAATTTAAAATCAGACTCAAACTTCACCCCCAGATTGGTGACACAGTCCTTGAGATAAAATGACAGTGAGCCAAGATCTATGCTGGGAGAGTGACGGCAACTTGGTCCAAACATCATAACTTCAGTCTTGTTCTCATTTAGACTAAGGAAGTTAAGAGAGAACCATGTCTTAACATCATTAAGGCAGTGTGTAAGTTGTTGAACTGTGTTGTTTTGTGCCAGGGGAAAATAGATCTGGCAATCATCAGCATAAAAGTGAAATAAAATGCCATGCTTCCTAAAAATCGAGCCAAGGGGGAGTAAGTAAAGGGCAAATAAAAGAGGGCCAAGGACTGAGCCCTGGGGGACACCATGTGGAAGAGGAGCAGTGGAAGACATAAAATTGTCGATTTTTACGCAGAAACTCCTATTGGTTAAATACGACCGAAACCAATTGAGGGCGACACCCCTGATGCCCACACAGTGCTCAAGACGAGAGATTAAAATGCTGTGATCAACAGTGTCAAATGCAGCAGACAAATCTAATTCCCCTTTTCCATTAGTACCGGTACGGGCCGACTCGACCCTACTTGGCCCGGTTCTGAGGCTTTTCCATTAGTACCGGTACTTAGCACCTGTTACTATTTCTTTTTTCTTTTTTTAGCTGCTTCACAGTCTGCTGCGAACTGCTCCAATGAGAGCTGAAGATCACGGCACAGTGATGCTAACAGGACCACCTAGGGCTGGGTAATGTTCCAA